GTCTCTTTTGCAGAAACTCGACCAGACCCAGGATACATACACACAACCTCGCGACTACCAAGTGCATTCTGATACGCGAGAGGAGTAAGAGGAGGCGGCGGGGTGGCTAGGATCTCTCTGCGGTCTGCTACATCTATTTATAGCGTACGCCATACTAATGCATATGCGCCTATGCACCACGCTAACACCGCGTCCCGCGAGCATAACGGGCTTTTACATGCTGCACTGGATATTCCACGTGGATTCCCCTCCGCCGCCGCAACGCTTCCCCTTTCTCCCAGGATCGCTTGTTTCTCGTGGCTCCGCCGTTGTCCGCGGAGGTCTCCTCTCGCGTACACGCGTGCGAACGCACGTGCGGCTGCCTCGAAGAGGAACGCACCGAGAGCCACGTCTCGAGATTTATGCACGGGCGCAGGTCCCCGCGTGTAAAAGTCGAGCGCGCGCGCGCGCACGCCAACTCGCCGCTTTTCCGGTCACGCTGCGGTCAACCTGCCTCTTAAAATGCTGTTGAACTCGATTTTTATTAATCCACTTGACCCGTATGCATTTGAGGTATTTCCACCTACGAAAAAGAAAAAATGAATTAGAATAAATTATCTGGATCGGATATAATAATAAATAATAAACTTTAGGTCCCGAGTGTTTATTATGAAGCATGATGTTTGGAATTCGCATGCGCACGCACCAACTCGACGCTTTTCCAGTCAGACTGTGGTCAACCTGCTGTCAAACTGCTATTGTACTCGATTTTTATTAACCCACTTGGTCTATCGATGTTTGAGGTATTTCTACATACATGATAGAGAAAACTATTTAGATAAGAATCGTTAAATAAATAATAATCAATTTTAGGTGATGGATATTTAGCATAAAGCATTAAGGTGTACGAGTTCCGTACGGTCCATCGACGTGTGTTGGGTTAAGTAAGATTAATAGATCGAGGATAACAACATAACCTCTTGGCTTATGATTTTTCTAGAAGCTACTCGTGTAGGCTATTTGCCGTTATAACATCATCCTGTAATATCAAAATAGTGCGTATGATTTGTATTTAATAATCTTAAGTATGGTTAATAGAAACTGAAGTCGAATTTTCAACTAACCTTTTTATCTGCCTTTATCGAATTGCAATTGTAATTCTTGATACGTGTGTGGCTCGGTACGTAACACGTGTGTGTTGTAAGACAAGAGATTGACACTAGGATTCTTAAAAAAGATAAAATAACTAGTTTTAGGTTTTTTATTTTTGCAGTTGCTGAAAACGTGCTTTTGGCAAAGTTAATATTGATATTTAATCAAGTGGGATTCAATTATGTACACTGTATTTAAATACACACTACAGGTGAGTAGATCTAGTGTTAATTACTAGAATGTAATTCTCCTCGATACATGAACGTTTTAATCTTCAAACGAATTTATTTTCTTCTGCATTGTTTTATTCACGACGGTTTTATTTTTCGTCTTTTCAGGTTAGGTTGTTCTCCACCCTGCACGAAAGGAACAAAACACGCGAAGCGAATTAACTTTCAGTCTTAGTCGGCTGATAAACGGCCCCGTACGGGATATCTAAATACCACGGAGCCTCTAAAAGTCCCCCGCATCCCCGAGCGCGAAATTTACGTTCGATTCACATCCGTCGCGGGCGAATATAAGTGTCGAGGCGCTACGTCTCCGGTACACCTCGGGCGTTATAACTTCGGCAGTTGTTACTTATAAATTATCATCGCGGCAGTTATAACTCATAGACTGTACGACGCCTTATAACTTATACTCGCGGTCGTATAAGTTATAAACGCGGTGCATGTAATTTATATGTTACGTGCTGCCGATGTTATAAAACCTCCGGCGGCTCAACAAACGGCATTATTTGATACGAGATTATAATACGCGGCTGACAATCCCGAATGTCCACTTCTTTTCATTGTAACGACCCCACGTCATTTTGCATTTGCGTCTCCATCCGATCGTACAGACAAATCGATGCGTACATCTATATGCGCATACTGGGTCACGTGACAACTCGAAATTTCCATTCATGTGTACACGCTTCGAAAAGAATCTAGCTGTTGCTTGTTGACTTCAAACAGGTTTAAGCAAACTTTAAGTAGAGGTAGTATAAAAAGAGTGATTGTTAACATTTATACTTGTCAAGTAACGTACTTAAATTTCACCTGTATAATTTCTGCAATATTTTTCCGTATCATAAATAAATGATTATAAAATGAATCGTAAAAGATACTTTACTTTCCTAACCTAGGCAAAAATTCAGAGGTTGAAAGCATCTGTGGAAAAAGTTTGAAAGCCTATTGGACGCAAGAGGAATTAATGAATAGTACTTACTGGTAAAAAGTCTCCTTCTGTTCTACGAATGCAGGTAATTGCTGCCATTACGAGTATAATAGAAAGAAACGTCACGACGTTCGATCGCGCGATTCGAGCGTTTTTCGCGGGATGTGAAACGAGATTTGGTTTTTTAGGTTAGCCAGACAGGCCACGGCGACGGTAAATTGACCGATAATGTTGCTTGGCACTGATTGCTGGATAGCAATGATGGATGCACGAGGGGCGCCCCTCGACCAGCTCTGTCCTTTACAGTGTACGCCAAGGTCGCTAACCTCACGAAGCCCTCGGGTACTCTTTGGCGCCACACTCTTCGTACTTTTAGCTCGACTCACCATGTTGTCCCGGCCGGCAAACAAAACACCGTGCTAGTCTCGATGGAACGTTGCGATTCTTCTGAGTTAGAATCCTCCGGGGAAGAAGTGCCTAGGATTTATACGAGGGAGGTTCGAAGAATACACGTCGATAGTAATCGATGTACGGCCTCGAAGAGAACGTCGATTATCCGCGGTTATCAGAGCAATTTGATTAATTTTACCGTTGTTAGGTTAAGTACTATCGCAGCTGATGTTTTCATGTGATTAATGTTGGTATTGTTATATTCCCCACGTGAGAGGTTAGATTGGCGATAGTTCGAAGCGATGTTTAATTTCTATCGTTCGATTGATCGAGACTGATTTAGGCAAGAAAATATGCACTGTGTTAGAAATAAGATGAATAATATCCGGGATGGTTAAATTATAGCTTAGAGAGATATTTATGAGGATATTCTGATTTTGATGGTTATCAATGTGAGAAATAATTGAAGATAGAAATCACGTGATTGAATTACAATAATTACCTTTCGTCTAAGTCTACATTAAATTACTGTTATGTTTTCCTTGTTCAATGGGTGTACTGTGTATATTATACACAATGAAAGTACAACACGAGTATTATGATTCTAATGTACCAAAAATATTCCGGTGCTGATAAATCATACATATGGAGATTCATTTCTACTGTAAATACTGTACTACATTGAATAAATTATTGTACATCATATATTCATATTGCCATATATACGAGGATTACGCTTGGATTAACGTTTACCACTAAAGCCAGTCAGCTGTACGTTTTAAGGATACTGCATCCTATTTACGCGTTATGACTTATAAAAGTAAAAAGTATTTTATCACTAAAAGCTTGCATAAACATTTTATGAATATATCTTTATCAGAATTGTTTGATAAATATCTTTCTCCAATAACGAATATAAATCAAATATTAACAATTTATACCTGTTTTAATTGAATGGATAATAAATACTATTTCAAAATTTGCAGCAGAAAAATGACCAAGCGCTTGTGCATGTTCAAGAGATGCAGACAGGAACACAAGGAAAATGAATCGGTGTCAATCAACAGCCGGAAGGTGTGTGTCTTCGGTCCTTGATCTCGTTCCCTTTTAAGAGCCGCAAGTAAAATCTCTTTTTCTGTTGTTCTTATTATTATTAATATCACTGATCGCACATCGCTGTTCCACTGAAACCCATCGTGGAATGCGAGCCGCTCCGATTTCAACCGCAGTTCGACCGGGCAAAAATTCTTAACATTGCTGAAACCGGCCGATGAGGTTATCGCATCATCCGCTCGATACCCGCCCGTAATTACGAGTTGCAATTACATAAAGCGTTTTTTTATCTTGGTTAATTAGCCACATGCGCGTTCTACGTTGCATTATAATACAGTCGATTATGCTTCGTTTCTCCTCGCTAATCGAACGACCGTTTCGATCATGATCCGTCGGTAATAATTCGAAATTGTATAGCCACCCTTATATCGTAAAACGTGCATTCTCTATATTCACATAGGAAAGACGTTAGTTTTTATATATGGAATAAACGTATCGTAAGATCAAAGAAATATGTAAGATGACATAAACTGACCTTTAGAGTTGGAATTCGTGTCGCCATCTATCGATGGTTGAGTAACTGGAGTGGATATACCTCTTTGGATGATACATGTACGAGGAATGATTATAGGGTAACTTCCTTAGAAGTTTTGAGAAATTTTTGTGAACTATAAATTTAATCTTATAAGGTTTTTAGAAACGTAACATATTTTTAATTTGTAATGTATTGTAGTTTCAGAATTTTCGGTTAAACAGTAACGGAAAATTTTGTCAATTTTTAAGTTTTTATTTTATATCTTATCATTCATTTCATTATAATTATCTTAATTTCTCAGAATTGAGAAAGAAGATTAGATTGCAATAAATATGCAGTATTTATATGTATAGGTGGTAGGATGTATTCAATTTTCAAATGTAATATCACAAATAACTCAGGAAAACTTCTAAAATATATTTAACAAGTCTAAAAGAGTAATACTTATACCTTCGAACTCTGATGATATTAAAATTACAATTTCATTAATTTTATCTTCAACCACCTAAACAAAAAACATAATTTCATTTCATTTTTTCTTTTTTTTTTAATATCTATAAAATATTTTTAATTTTTCAGAACAAAAAATTAAAATAACCTTAAGTAGATTATGTTTCTGTTCAAAATTTGTGATAGATACTAGCGCCATCTGTTGGTCTGTAATCATGATTTCACACGTAGGATAAAGTGAAGTCAGTGAGTCGTGCGTCGAGTCACGGAAGGTTGCGCGCATGTTTATTTAAAGCTTACTGACGTGTGTGTACAATTGCGCGCGCAATGAATCAAGCACCAGTATCGTGTATTCCAGCCGGGAAGATGTCAAAGGCGAAGAAGGTGCTCGACGAGGCCCGCGAGATCCAGAATCCGGAGCTGGATCTCGCGGATAAGAGTATCTCGACGTTCGAGGAGATGCCAGGATTGCGTGAGTCTTCCATATCCTCGTGGCCCTCGTTCCATTCGCCAAATTAGGCAACTTGTCTTGACTGGTTTTTTGGAGCGGATAGAAATCCGAGGTGGCCATTTGTTGCTTACCCACGAGGTGGGCGTGTCCACGCATGCGCGCAAAATTATTTTAAATAATTCGAAAACAAATCATAATGTTGTTGATAAAAATTATATAGGCCTATATATCTTAAAATATATGAATGTACATGAACATTGATATAGTTATTAATAATATTGTATAATAACAGTATAAAAACAATCTTTTGTTTCAGTTAATATGATTAATATCACAAGGTTGACTTTGAGCCATAATAAAATTCAAGGTAAATTTATGCAATTTTTAATGTGTATGTCAATAGTGAAATCCATTCCTCATGTATGTTATTTTCTTTGTATAGCTGTACCACCAGGCCTTGCAAATCTAGTCAATTTGGAAATATTGAATCTGTTTAATAATCACATTACTGAGCTACCAATTTCATTGTCGCAAATGCCAAAGTTACGAATTCTTAATGTAGGGTAAGTATTTGTGTGAATCATTATTTATGTGTAACGTCTAATTCAAGCAAGTTTATAGGATGAACAGATTGGATGTACTTCCACGTGGATTTGGTGCATTTCCAGTATTAGAAGTTTTAGATTTAACGTATAATAATTTGAGTGAAAAGAATTTACCAGGAAACTTTTTTATGATGGGTCAGTAGCAATTCAATATGTTAAAATGATATTTGATTGGAGATGAAAACAATATCTGTCTGTACAGAAACCTTAAGAGCACTCTATTTAGCTGATAATGACTTTGAATATCTACCTCCTGAGATTGGGCAGTTAAAGAATCTGCAAATAGTATGTAGTAGAATATCTATGTAATAATCTGTATTTTTAATTCTTTTACTTATTTATAGTTTATCTACATTTTAGCTTGTATTAAGAGAAAATGATCTAATCGAATTACCAAAAGAAATTGGAGAATTAACGCGATTGCGAGAATTACATATTCAAGGAAATCGATTAACAGTTCTACCTCCAGAAATAGGTATAACATAATAAAAACAAGATCAAACTAAAAATGTGTGGCTTCATCAAAAACTAATTTTAATTTAATATTGATTAGGGAATCTAGACTTGGTAAGCAACAAAGCAGTGTTTAGGATGGAATTTAATCCATGGGTTACACCAATTGGTGATCAGCTGCAAGTTGGGATATCTCATGTTATGGATTACATTCGTTCTGAGACGTATAGATAGTGCGTATTATATCTCTTTTTCTTTTTACTATAAAAGTTTAATAAGACACTACTTTATAACTGTTTATTTTCCTTTAGTGTATATAATCGACACCAAAGCGCCAAAGGACCACCACCACGAATTGAAAATGACAAGAGTAAGAAAATATCTCGTGTTCGTTAAAGCGATATAGAGGAGAATTAACTAACATCGAAAAATATTTTTAAACTAACGTCCCGAAAAATGTTTTTAAACTAACATCTCGAAAAATATTATTAAACATCATTTTTTTTTTTAATTAACTTATTGCCGGTAATCTCATAGTTATAACACATTTGCAATCAAAATAGTGCCTTAACCAATAATATAAAGATACATTTTTGTTACACATTTGAATTTGCAAAGTATAAATGGAATACGTGTACTATACACATTACATATTATATAATGTATTGTTATATTGTTCAAATTTGATAACTGAATATAGAATAAGTAATATTTTTATAATGATTAAATAATGGATATAATTTGTATAATAAACTATAATATAGAATAAAAGTTAGGAATTGTTTTCACTTGTAGAAATAGCAATCCCTGATTAAATGGTTTCTATCATGAAGTTAATTTTCATTTAATAGTATTTTCGTTTGAACTAAAGTTTTACTTTTTAGTTCAAGTATAATTGCATACACTTAATTTTTGGTTTGCATAACTTTTGTATAGTAAACAATATTAATCCACAACATAACAAAACTTTTCAAATTTGCTTTGGGGCTATGCACAATACATAATTATATATACCCTTCATTAATAGTGTTTGACAACAGTTTGTTTATATATATTATACGAATTGCTACTAATTAACAAAATAAGTTCCATAAGATGCTAAAAATGCAAAAGTTAATCGACGAGGATGGGATTCGAACCCACGCGTGCAGAGCACATTGGATTAGCAGTCCAACGCCTTAACCTCTCGGCCACCTCATCCGCTTATACCTAATAAAAAAATGTTCTTCCAACAGGGGTGATTCCACCCTATGGAAAAAATAACATCTTATGTAAAATAGAATTTAAAACCTCATATAATTTAACAGTATGTGATAATTCATAGAACATTAAGCTACTTTTAAGAGATACAAAGAAACATTAAATAGTACTCAATTAAAAATTAATATATTGTTTGAATGCATTATTTGAAAAACAAATTTCTAATGCATACACATAACTATAACATCATTTATTTAAAAATATACTATTTAGACCAACTAGATGCAGTTTTAGAGTCTACTAACTGTAATCAAATTTACCAAAGTTATAGTATACATAAACATTATTAAAAATAATTGCATATTTGTTTTATTGTTTACCTCTACCTGAATTTTGAATTCGTGGATTGTTTATAAATACATAATTTACGTGTTCACATTTTCTGTATGTTTACAAACATTGGATTGTATGTTTATTTTATTTGTTTATCTCGTAGGAGTTTGAAGTAACGATTGAAAAATAGGAACCTCGAATTCAAAAAAATAATTGTGATAGTGTCAGAATGACTTCTACACTCTTAAGCCTTTCTTTAGATATGAAAAAGTTGCTCTTAAAATGAAGGGGGTGTGGTTTCCTTTATAATTCTGGAATCAATAGAGAATTTTTCTATTTAATTAATTATTTATTGGGAAATTTTTATAAATTCTAATTAAATATATCAGTTTGAAGTTTTATGGTTTGAAATCTCGACATGTTTCACGCGGCAAGTAACAGATGGCAGTGACTTCGAATTCTCACCAATTTCTTTTTTCCCACTGTTAATTTCCAGAAATTCATAAGTGAATTCAAACTAAACTAAAACAACAATTAAAGCATAATTTACACCCACTTCCATTCATTTACACTTATTTGATACCTCGTCTGGAATGGTAATATTTGACAACTAATTTCTAGCTATTACTATATATACCTGTTCTGTCATCTAGTAGTGAACTATTCAATTATAATTGTATTTTATCAGCGTACAGTAGATAAAAATAAAATTCTTAAAAATTCATTACACAAGAATTGATACTCAAGCCTAACTTTCAAAATGAGAATCAATCACCTAATTTCCTTTCGTGTAATCTTTCATTTAACCCCAAAGTCATACATTTTTAGAAATACTGATATTTTTCGAAAACTGAGGGTGATAGTGCAATTTCGTTTTGTTTCAGGAAAGTACGCAATACATATTACAGATTTGATAGCAGTAAAAATTTGTTGTACAGTATAATTGGGAACGATTTGTCTTATGCGAACAGAGATTGTTAAAACACTATCTATTTTGTTAATATTATTCCTTAGCAACCGAAACAAAAGTGTTTAACATGATGTCTTGATTGTTCAGTTGAATTTGGACGTTCATCCTGCTGACATTCCTCTCACCTTTCCTTCCATCGATAATAAAAATTCGTCAAAATGGTAATTACTTCTCCTATTTTATTATCCGGATATGACTATACCTACACTGACAATAATTACTAAAATAAACGTATAAGATTTTTTAATTCTTTTGTTAAAAATTTGCATTCTCTATTCTGTAAATCGTAAATTATTTTATTTATTACCAATATACAGTACTAATTTGTAATTAAGTTAATTACAAATTATTACGAAATATTAATAATATTGTACACATATATTATATTTTTATTATATTTCATTAGAAACGATCAATAACTCAAAATAAATACAATTAATATTAAATAAAATTAATTTTAATAAAACGTATTTAATTACGAAGCGTGAAGTACTGTCAGTTCATATCGGCCAAGGCGGTGTCCAAATGGGGAACGCTTGCTGGGAATTATATTGTCTGGAACATGGCATACAACCTGATGGTATGCTTCCAGCACAAAGCTGCACTAACGATGACGGCTTTCAAACTTTCTTCAGTGAAACTGGCGGTGGAAAATATGTTCCCCGAGCCGTATTTCTGGACCTTGAACCCACAGTTATAGGTACACTTAATTTACCTACATGAATACCTACAAATTTACCTACAGATAATACACAAACTGCATTCAAAGTTAAATGAAGAAAATAACAAGAATATCAAGTTAATATACACACAATCACTGTTTATTTTAGACGAAGTTCGAACAGGAACCTATCATCAACTATTCCACCCTGAACAATTAATTTCCGGCAAAGAAGACGCGGCAAATAATTACGCTCGAGGTCACTACACTCTAGGCAAAGAAATAATTGACCTAGTTCTTGACAGGATTCGCAAGATTGCCGATATGTGTACCGGTCTTCAAGGTTTCCTTATCTTCCATGCGTTCGGCGGTGGTACTGGTTCAGGATTCACTAGCCTACTAATGGAACGTCTCTCTATGGACTATGGCAAAAAAGCCAAGCTAGAATTTGCTATTTATCCTTCTCCGCAAATTTCTACCGCGGTGGTAGAACCTTACAACGCCATCTTAACTACGCATACGACACTAGAACATTCAGACTGCGCGTTCCTCGTAGATAACGAGGCGATCTACGATATTTGTAGGAGAAACTTAGACATAGAACGGCCCACTTATACGAATTTGAACAGGTTAATCGGGCAGATAGTGTCGTCCATCACTGCTTCTTTAAGATTCGATGGAGCGTTAAATGTGGATTTAACGGAATTTCAAACGAATTTGGTTCCATATCCAAGGATTCATTTTCCATTGGCTACTTATGCACCGATTGTATCGATCGAGAAAGCCTATCACGAGCAACTGACTGTGATGGAGCTGACATCGTCTTGTTTTGAACCTGCAATGCAAATGGTGAAATGTAACCCGCAAAGAGGAAAATATATGGCATGCTGTTTGTTATACAGAGGGGACGTGGTACCTAAAGATGTTAATGCATCTATTGCGACTATTAAAACGAAGAGGGCGATACAGTTCGTCGATTGGTGTCCCACTGGATTTAAGGTAAAGAAAATTTTTTAATTATTTTAAAGAGTATATCTTTTGCGTGCGAGGTTTTCGAGAAAGTTTCAAGAAATAATTCACGATTGAAACTAATTTGATTTTTAGGTAGGTATTAATTACCAACCACCAACTGTAGTACCTGGAGGCGATCTTGCTAAAGTACAACGAGCAATGGCAATGCTTGCGAACACTACTGCAATCGCTGAAGCGTGGACGAGACTAAACAGGAAATTTGATCTGATGTTTGGAAAACGTGCTTTTGTTCATTGGTTAGTTATCTTTGGCCGGGACATGATTAAAAAAATTAGTTATACTTTAAGTTCTGAATATCTTTTTTGAATATTAAAATATTTTGGTTCTAAAATCTAGGTACATCACTGAAAGTATGGATGAAAGCGAATTTAATGAAGCGAGAGAAGATCTGGCTGCCTTGGAAAAAGATTATGAAGAAGTTGGTATGGATTCGACAGACGCTGGCGAGGGTGAAGACGAAAATTAAACGAACACCATATTCCTGTGATAGAGCTTATTTCATCACAGGGATAATTTTGGAAGAACGTACAATTCATATATTTTGTACAAGTTATACACTGTTTTTGTTGATTTTGTTTGTACTTGTTCCGTACACTGTTTTAATAGGTAGTTTTATTTTTAGTGTATGTACATACATTTCTGAACTTTTATGTTTTAAATAAAAGTTTATTTTCTTTGTATCTTTGATCTTTCATTTAAAATGTACATTATAAAAATGCTACAAGATCTTGAATGGCAGAGAATGTTAAATCGACTAGCTAACCTAATCAAATTTTCCCAATAAAAAATTATTTCAAACTTTTTAATATCCATTACTTCGATCAACTTCTTCGACCTATTATTTTTATCTCTATTTTACTCTTTAAAGTAATTAAAAAGGTAGGTAAGTAGTATTCCTCAGGAATAAGGAAAGACGATAATGATTGCAGAGAGACAATTTCATAAAGATATTAATTTCATAGATATTACAGGCTTTTTATTGTGTAGGACAGCACGCGGCTACACGAATTATATTACATATGTATAAATTCGTAATCGACAGCTTTACAGTTACAGAGAACTCTTATCGCACATAGAATCATCTTTCAATCTTGAGGGGAGGGACAGGGTGACATCTTTTCATCTTTTTTCTTTCCAAACTGCGACGTAACGGACAGTACACTCGGTGTAAGATGATATGAAAACGCGCATGCGCGCCCTCGCACTTTGACTCGTTTCCATTTCCAATAGGATACGCTGCAAATTGCTTTCTGTGCGTATCTCGCCGAGCAGTACAAAAAACTCATGATAGTATTAATAATAATTATGATAATAACATTAATATCAGTAATAATAATTATAATATTAATAATAATAATAAAAATAATAAAAATAAAGAAAACCTAGAAAAGTGTCCTCGCGTGACAATCAAAAAAGAAAATTCCAACTCGTCGATCGAGTTCGTCCACTATAAAAAAAAAAAAAAGAAAAAGAAAAGGAAGGTGTGTTCGCATGAAAAAACGGCGAGGGATGATTGGATTGGGGAACATGAGAAGAATCACAACGACGATGATAAAAGTAAAAAACATCGATCAATCGGTACACCGATATACAATGGTAATAAATGTCGATACGACGACAATGACCTGGTGGCATCAACGAGAGCGTCTGTTCATTCGTTTCTTCGAATAATAATCGGTAATATATCTATCTATAATAGAATATCGGTTGTCGGTAAAGCAAAATTCTCAATTGTTCATATAGGTTCGTGTTCAATTCTTTTCGACCGAGCTGATTCTTTTTCACTACTTTCCCTTTTTCACTTCAGTAAATTTCCGCTAGTGTGCGAAATAAGAAAAGCGATCTGACCACGGAGAACGACGTTTCGCTTTTGACACCTTACATCGAAGTCGAACGCGATTATGACTATTAAATTCTATCGTAAATAGAGTATCCTAATAAAAAGATTTTCGTTGCGCGTGTCACGTGACTTTTTATGTTTTGCTCGACACGCGCGATAATTAGCAAATTCTTTCTTTTAAAACTTTGTATTTTATAAAATTTCTGTTCTCTCTCTCTCTCTCTCTCTCTCTCTCTCTCTCTCTCACTGTCTCATACACTCACGCAAATGCACCTATACGATATCTTTCATACCTTTTTATCTCTCTCACTCTCCCTCTCATATTCGATTGTTTTTTAAAGACTGCCTCTTTCTCTCTTTAATTCAATACAATCATCATCATCATCTCATCATTTCTTTTTTGGATTGGCAGGCGAGTTAAAGCTGCCGCTCGCTGGACTAGAGATTTCACTACTGCTTTATTGCGCATCCGTTGTCCGACGACAATCTTCTTCGTTCACACTTTTGTCTCTGTCTCTCTTTCTCTTTCTTTCTTCCTTTCACTCTCTCTCTGTCGCTTTGCTCTCGCATCACCGGGAACGGCTAGGAACCGCAATGCCAATTCTCGTATCCTCTCTCTCTCTTCACTTTCTGTCACTTCACACTATCTCTGTCTCACTTTCTCTTTCTCTCTCCAGCGAATGTTTCTTTTTATTATCCTTTTTCATTTAAATATATAATTATGAGCACTTCTCCGCCACACGAACAACTTGTGTCTACAAACAATCTGTTTACCAGGGGAAGAATTGCTTAACCATTCTTTTTCGCCGGATTTTTGGGTACTATATGAAAATTGTTGAACGAGCAAACACAATTTGGCTATTATTGAACACGTAGTGGATTGCTGTTAAAGGGAAAAAGAACAAAAAAAATTAATAGAAAAATATGTGCTCTGTGATGCGTTTGTTATATCTCTAAAATCATGAACACACAACGAGGAATTGATTTTATAATGATCTAATGATTTAATACCGACTGATTTTTATTTATACTGCAAAAATGTTGAATATTATTGTTTCAATTCTGTAGTGACTAGAGTGAAAATGTGGCAGTTGTGTGTCTCCTGTATGTATTTCATATAAGGGATACTTAAGTACTTAAATCCACTGTATATAATGATTTTATAATTGTAAAATATATTACATGAACATGTCACAATCAACTACTGAACATAATGTTTGCTCCTTATAGAGAAACGCTTTAACAATGTTCATTTATTGTCAGTGCATCTTTGGGCATAAAATATCATGTCATTCTTTTCAGTTCCATATAATTTTAAGCAATGTATACAATTCAAATTCTTCCACTATTAAATTCCTTAAAAAAGTCAGATAAATTTCCATCGGTCAGCAAAAAACCAATACCTTATCTCTACTCAAACGCATCACTGGAATAATCTACCCTCGACATCTATTAATTGTCTAGATCAGAAAAAAAAAAGAATAAAGATAAGAATATCAAAATACACATACATATATATCAGAACACATTGTGTTGCTCGTTCCTTTACCCTCGCAAACTTTTTGAACACCTCTATTATTGTGAGCTGTGCTCAACGGAGCGGAGGCGTAGAGCAGGGATCACTGGAACGAATGGTCGGGAGACGAACTTCTGGCCTGGGCGATCTCTGTCGACCGATAGGAGGAAGCTCAGACGAGCAACGCGAGTCACACGACGCGAGATGCCGACTGTCGGTAAAATGTCTGTAAGGCACGGCCTCGAGGACGCCCGTCTCTCATTGTCGTTAGGATTCCAATTTCTTTATTTTTTTTTCTTTTTTTTTCTTTTTTCCTTTGCGTCCGAGGGCCGGGTGGAGAAGAGAAACATCGCCGACTTTGGCGAGTCTCGTTGCTGTACGAAAATAAAGCGATTTTACATGGGGAGGATGATCCTCGTATACTCGGCTGACCGTGCAACAAGATCGTTGTTATCGTTCCGCGGTCAGCCGATTCGACTTATTCACATCAAAGAAATGCGAACTCGTAGGAGCAGTAATTACTCGTCCAGGCAAATTACAATCGCAAAACGCATTTTCAAATCATTATACAGCTATAGAAAGGTCGTACGAGACGCTACAAAATTCTATAAATCGCTTTTAGTCCATAACAAATGAGAAACTCGATGGCTGAGAGAGGTTATGTCACAATTGAAAATCGAATTTTATCGTTGGCTCACTTATAGGTGTTTTGACAGGTAAAAATTGCGTAACGTTGACCGACTAACATCTACTTGGCTATCGAGCTTCTCAAATAATTCCATTTTAGTCGTCAACACTGATAAAAGCCTCTAAACATTCTCCCTTAGAACACTACGCAATCTAGTGTATAGTAACTTTGCTTGTACTTTTGTCGTTAATAAAGTTAGGAATACAACGCGGAGGTCTGCAGTTAAAGATATGTTTAGCGTCTCGTTGGACCGCTTCCATGATGAATCGGAGTGTATAAATGATTCTAGATTTTAATTGCCTCGATTTTTACTATTCGAGGTTTTAGAATGTGAATTGTAACTTCTTTAAGAACTTCGGTATTATGATAATTCAATTAACTTTTTTTTCTCCTTTTTTTCCTGTTTTCCTTTTTTGTTTTTTTTTTCTTGAGGAACATTTAACTCTATTTCTTTTTTTGTCAATATCAATTGAATATTACATCTGGTTTAATATAGATTGTACTTTAACAATACTAATTAAAATTCTTATCCTGCAAGATAAATTTTCAAATATTGTATGAATATTAACACAGACTCTCCTCTTCTCCAAAAAGAAAAAAAAAAAAAAAAATACAATTTACACTCGAAAACTGCAATCCTCGCAATTATATAAATTTAATGCATATTCTGCATAAAAAGCATGTGCCTACGATCTGCAAATTGCAACTGCCAGGAATGAGTCTATGTTCTTCCTCAGTGTAGCATTTAGGGGGCGCGAACTCGGTAGAAAACGGTAACGCTAACGCATTGTAAGATCAATGTTACTCTCTTTCTTTCTTTCTTAGTTTCTTCACTCATTCGTTTTTCTGTCTTTCATACGATCACTCATCCCCTTTGTTCTCTGTCAAGCTTAAAGGCGTACACACGTATTCAAAATCTTTACGCCACTCGTTCGAAACCGATACATAGTTCAGCGACACTGTGTGAATCTCACTGACGTTGAGGATAGCAAAACCGTCGATGAACTAGGAGCTCCTGCCTTTAGAGTCCAACGATGATACTTCATATGTTCTCATCTCGCCATTACATCAATGTGGCGACGAACAAACGTAATTTTCCTTTCCATCTGTGACATTAGTTTTGCATCCATTTCAGTGTGTTCTACAGTTCTAAGATCCTGAGAATCTCATAACAATCAAACTACTCATTACCATAGGACCAAATCTGCAGAAGAATCAGCAGAAGAACAGTTGGACTCTTCTATGAGCCCGTTATCGAAGATTTCATTTATCCTGAGCATAATTTCTCCACACACGAGAACACCAAGAGTCTGTACGACGAAAACGGCGTTTGCTTGTTCCGAGGAGACGAGTTAACCCGAAATGGTCCGGCATCAGCCCCTGGATCCGTTTCTTCCGCGGTGTAACTGCGCCGTTGTTCAGGATCTGTAGATGCGGATCACGTCTCTGATGGTCGCCCGACAAAGTGGGCAATGTCCACCACCTTTGCCACGCCATTGTTGGATGGCGCAGGAATAGCACATGCACATGTGGCCGCACATGTACAGTACGCTATTGATGCTTCTTTCATAGCACACTGAGCATTCATTGGGCTGTCCAGGCGTAGGTTGAAGACCTTCGCTCCACAGTTGCAGGAGAGAAGACGGCTGAGAATTAAAAGTGCCATCGAGACTTTGATAATTCACTGGTTCCACGTACGTAGAGGATCCTGTACTGGCCATGGTGCCTGTTAGAGGTGGCGAAGGCTGTCTGGAGGATCCAGGGTGCGACGTGGACGCCGTGGATGTTGTAGCTGCTGGTGGAAGGTGCACGTGCTGATTCCTGTGTATGGCGGAGGTGTAAGTGGGCTGAGAAGTGGACGAGGACGGTGTGACGTAGCTTGTCTGAGGCGGAAGGTTCACCACTAGCACGGTACCTCCGCCTATGGCTGGTTTGAATTGAACCATCTCCGAAAATCTGGATAGTTCTGTGGCAGCATTACTGTGATTGCAGTGTTGTTGCTGTTGCTGTTGCTGCTGTTGTTGCAACACCGTTGTCGGTATAGGGTTGCTTTGACCTTGTCGCGGTGGCGACGTAGGCTTTTCAGCCAGTACCCTGATTCGTTGTGTACTACCATAGACATCGAAGAACGCCCATAACTGGAGACTTTGGTCCACGTGCATCACCACGTTAGGTGGCCCACCATTTTTGCTCATTTGAACTTCTCCAAAGTGTGTGACTGTAAAGGCTATTTCGTCACCAGGTTGAGGACTCGATGCCACATCCTTGGAGACTACCCAGTATTCTGGACGATCCAATAAGAGATCGCTGTCATCGGGTAGGTCTTCGGCAGTAAGACGAGCTGGATCACAGGAAGTCAGACCTAGAGCGAGAGCACCAACGTACATCGGCTCTGTGGCTAAGATCTGCACTACCAATCGTTCTCCTAATAGTAGTGGTTGGCTTGTAAATGCATAGCCGTGACAGAATTCCGTGTCGGACCGTGTCGCCACGCACTGCTGGTTACTGAAACGGATGTTCCTACCTCTGGTCCTGGAGAATGGAGAAACGGAGAAGTCATTAGAAGATGGTCTATAATGGAACGATGGGTATGTACAAAATGTCAATTTAAAATGAACTTATACTCGTTTGTGTTATGTATCAAAGAGATATGGTGTAAGAAGATGAGAGATTTGAAATTTGTAGCAATCTATTATATAGGTAGATGGAACTTGTAGGTGATGAGTGTGATAGAAAGTTAGAATAAATTCCTAGGATCTTTACTGAGTTTTGAAATCAAGAAAGAGACACGGTTGGCTGAACTAACAGTAGCAATTAAGTTATTATAGAGATTGGTGCCTTCTGAATTAAACTAAACAAGCTGAAGACTTTGTACTATTTGTGTGTTAATTATGTCAAATTAATATACAGTGCCATTGCAATTTAAAGTACATTGAATATCCTAAAAAGAGACTTTATTAGTATTCGATCAAGGTTAAGCCACACGGAACAGGCACAACACGTGATTGAAATTGGCCCGAGTTAGAGAATAAATATCACCGGAAGACGATTCTAACTGTACATTGCAGCTATGAACGAATCGATAGTAGTCCGTAGGATTTTTACACTCTTATGTCATGACAATTCAGTCTTATAATTTGAATTATTTTGAAGCTCCTATAACAGAAAAGGTATAGCTAGACAATTCAGTATTAATTGTTAGGTTATTATAATAACTGATCCCAATGCCTCTTTTTTCCTAAAGAAAGTAAAAGATTTAATAAGTCACATAGAACTGTCCATGAAAAAGGTGGTATTAAAATAAGTAAAACTAATAGTACAAATATTTTCATCAATAGCTACATAGAATGATAAATTTTGTAGTTAGTTTTAAGTCATTCACATGTCTGGCAGATAACACCTACCTAATAAACCTTGTATAGCTCACTTTCTACTCTGAACTTTAAATTTGTATAGGTTAACATTCCTCTCTTTTCCCCTCGCAGTACATTTTTAAAACTAGATTAACACCAGTAAGCGTGTAACCTTAATCTTTCATACAAGTCATCATAAATCTAATTTACAGTCTATCACAATAACAGAACCTACTTCTCCTGCCTGCTTCTAAGTTCAGTGAATAAGTGAATCAAGACAAGCCTGCATTTAATCCTTTCGCTACCAAGGATAGCTATGATTATCCAACTGTTCTACTCCGTACACCAATAGCTGAGGCAGAACTTTTGAAGAGATTCAAAACCAAACCATCCTAATATCCTAAACCAGTGCTGTCAAACCTGTCATATAACATTGTACATAGTATTACTATTAATACTAGCATATATTATAACATATTATTAACAGTTACACAATTACATGCTAAATATGTACTATTAATAATAACATATGACACCCAGGCATATTATGCTCAAAAACCAACAGAGAGAATAACTCGCTGATCTCTTTCTGGACTTTATTTCCTACAGCAACGACATCTGCAGGAGGACCAAAGTATTTCAAAGGCTTCACCTGTGGACAGCACAGTTTTAGGATACCAGTATATCGCAAAATGGTTAAACGAAAACTCGAGCCGCGTGTTGGTGGATCTTCGAGGAATTAGAAAACAAAGGATCCCCGAAGATACTCACGAGTGGAAGGGTAACGGCGTGAAGATGACACCGGCAGGCTGAAACCTGAGTCCAGGCAGCTCGACATCGGGCTCATGATGGATCGACATGCCCTGCATGGTAGGAACGATGATCCTCTCGACGTCCCTGCTTGCGTTGCTGGCGTCGTCCATGGCCGAGTGCCTGCTGTGCTGCGCGTTGTCCTCGTTGCTATGCTCAGCGCCTCTCCTGATGTTGTTGAAGTGCTGCCTGTTGGGATCGACGAACTCGATCGCGGTGCTGTTGCCGTACACGTCGATGATAGCCCACAGTGGGCTTCGTGTCTCCACACCGCCGAAGAACACGCCCTTTTCCTCGCCATTCACCCCGAAATGCACGTCTCCAGCGGACGTGACGTAGAAGAAGAGCACCGCGCCTCTTATGGCGAGCCTCTCGGCCATGGCCTTTGCCCAGTAACCGGGTTTGTTCGTCAAGTCTGGACAGGCGTACCTTGGAAGGCCATTTTGTAGGTTGATCGGATCGTTGCTGGTGAAACCGAATCGGATCACGCCGCTCCAGTTGTCGGAGATCTCGAGGAATTTCACACAGACCTGGAGTTACAGACGAGACATCGTTAGTTGGTGCTTCTGTTTCGTTATTTCGTTTTATTTTCAAAAATTTACTTAGGACAAGATTAAATTACGAGTTTATCTTTTAGAGCATGACCTGGACCAGAGTGTGCTACTCTTAATTAGGCTCATAGAGTATAACTTGGACCAAGACCACTACTAATAGTGCTACTGCGAGTCAGGTAAGTAATTGTCACTCCCAAACAGTTTCGTCATAGTCTCTATCTATATTTATCAAATGGAAACATATATCAGGTGCACATCTATCGTATACGAGGATTCTAATCAAATTCCTGTTCATCCACGTGAAGTGTAACGCGAATGAAGACTATGTAGGTTAATCCTAGGCCTATCATATCGCGAGGCAGACTATCTACGAGATCTTAGAAGAAATGCAACCAGGACAGACATTTTGAACATTTTGAAATTTGATTATACGTGATTGTCATGATTTTGGAAGATCCAGGTATCTTATTAAATGTTCTTGCGTTTAAGTGTGACTAGGAGTGAGTGTGGCAGCTAGATGGTTACATGGTTGCATGAGATAATTACATGTTAGAAAATTGGAGCCTAAGTCAGATTGATCTCACTAATTATCTATTAATATTTCAGAAGATTTTCCAATCTCACAGAAGAGATTTCGTGTGTTGATCCTTTAACATCTTCGATGGAACACCTCGTGTCTGTTGGGCAACTAGGTCGAACAGGCTTCAGATTAACAATTAAAATATTTCGAGTCCGACAATTCCTTTGAAAATTACTAGCATTCTATTGGAAGTCTATAAATCACGATGACCACACCAAATCAATGGTCCAATTGACCATGAGAATCCTTTTAATAGGTCGTGGCTACCTGGAACGAGTGAACCTTGTGTTCCCAGAGTGCTTATGACACGAGTCTCCAGTCCTTCGATCTTATCAAAGGAATACGGGTTTTCTCGGTTCCTTTTTAATTATTTTATCATCCTTGGAGGAACATTCGCGAGCGTGGGGAATACCTCAGACTTTAATCGCGCGATTTCGTCGGCAACGGGACGCTTTTTCGCTACCAAGTTCGGCCACGTTATGTCACGAGGCTGAACGTGACGAAAATCCCAAAGACGATAGTTAACAGTGGGGAACAGTTACGAAATATCGAGTTCGCGTCGTTCGTTTTCCTAGAATCGAATGTCTCTGCTGGTGGCTTTGTCTTCTAACCGATTTAAGTTTCTCCTTCACGGTTTACGATTCTCCAACTACGAGACCAGGGAACCGGAGGAATAGATTGGTTCCAAGTGTCTTGCAGTAAAAAAGCCGGAAGAGAAATGGGAAATATAATGAGTGACTTCTGCTTCTACGTATTTTATCTTAATCACAATATCTGAGCGTTTTCGTTCCTAAATAGTGTCCACAATGATCCTAATTATCAAGTAGGATTTATTAAAACGATCTATCTATGTATTTCTCATATAGAATGTCCAAAAATTCATATAAGATTTGAATTTCGCGCCATTTGCGCGGTCAAGTGCTGCCAATTACAAGAAGTGACAGAGTGACACTTGACAGTTCAGGATTATTAAAAGTAGTGTGTTATATGAAAGAATAATACATTTTCATTGTTGAGTAATTTTTACAATCTTTAATTAAAGACCTGTGTTTTCTATCAAAATTATTTGCGTAAATTTTGGGACACCCCTTATCTTCTAATTGGTATTTTCTATTTTTGAAATAAAAATGCGAAATTATAATTTTCCTTTATTATCTCAGCAGAGTTTGCTCGACGTAGAAATATTGAATCTTCAGCATAGTTTGTCAAGTTATGACGAATCTTTTCTCTGTTTGGAATCAAGAAAATGGCACTCGAATTCTGATGCAATGCAACGAGAACCGTTCTCGGAAAATGCAAGTACACTGACGCGAGTGTTGCAGGAAAAAGATTGGAAAATGGTTAAATCGATGTTATTAATTCTTGCGAATGGACGATGAAACGAGCTGTGATTTCCCTTTGAGCAATTTGAGGTATAATTTCCAAGACCAGTGTACCCACGCAAATACCTCTGATAGATTCGCGTGCTATCACCTTCATTGACTTTCAAATTCTGAACGAAGCCAATATTATAATTGCTGCCAGTTGGAAAAACATTAAGGAGCTCATTAAGTCCTCATCGTTGGGATCAAAAACTTGGGAATAAAAATATATACGAAATACTATATAAAAATAACAAATACAGCTGTTACTCTAATGCCAAAGAGTTGACATTCCATTTTACTATCAATGAAATTCCAATATCATGTCAAAATCTCAAGACAAATCATGGATCTGATACTAGAAGACTAGTTTCATTCGTAAAAGGGACAAATTCGAACCCAAAATTGAATTCAAAACTGGACAATAGAGATACCATAGAGATATGTAAGTCAATTTGATGTAATAGTAAACAGGAATGGCTAATGGAAGTAGACATTGTGAGAATGGTATGGCAAATTGGCGAGGTTTCGCGAGATGGGATCAAATGTATCGTCAGGCGATGGTGAAAATCCGATATTTCAAGGTGTTTAGAGAAATCCACGAGGAGCCTTCGAGTACTCGCCCACAGACTGCTCGATCTCCTCCAAGACGAAGGCAAACGAAGGATGAAAGGAGAATACTGCCACGCGCTCTTTCCTCGAGTTTATGAAAGCGAATCAGCTGGAGAAGTGAACGTGGACGGTGTTATGTTTGAGAAGGAACCTAGGTAAATTTACCTTACCACGTGCTTTTATTTTGGTCGTAAGACTGGGGATCAGTCGGAGAGATACGTAGTCCAGGTTTCGGAGGAAGCCTGCCGGAAGTCAAGCTGGAACCAAACCGAACTTGATCAAAATTCGATTTGGATCTAACGTGAAATTGGCTAGTGTAAATTCGAAGGGATTAAAGTCCGAAGCGAATCTAATCTGGAATTAATTCAAATTTAAGGGAACAGGGCTGAACCGAACCCTCATGTGAAACAAAGTTAGCTTAAACTCGACTGGAAGCCTGTACAAGTTTAACGAGATCAAATTCGATACAGAGGTAATTAAAATTCGATGAAAACGAATTTCAGAATCCTAATAATGAATGTGATATAGGTGTAGATAAATTTAAAGCAAGGGAATTTATATAAAATTTTATCTAGCTAAAAAGAGACATAATTTAACATTGATTTAGTAAAATTCAAATAGAACCTTATCCAAATTTAACCAAACTCAACTCAGACATAATATATGATAAATCTAGTTAGTATCAACCAAATTTAATTCAAATTTAACATAAATTTAATTAAATCCTACCAAATCCAATTACAATCTAATGTAGACCTAGAAAAACTTAAATAAAACCTTATCCAAATTTAACCAAACTCAACTCAGACTTAATATATGATAAATCTAGTGAATATTAACTGGATTTAATTCAAATATAACATAAATTTCATTAAATCCTACCAAATCCAATTAGAATCTAATATAGACTTAGCAAAACTTAAATAAAACATTATCCAAATTTAACCAAACTCAACTCAGACCTAATATATCATAAATCTAGTCAGTATCAACTAGATTTAATTCAAATTTAACATAAATTTAATTAAATCCTACCAAATCCAATTAAAATCTAATGTAGACCTAGAAAAACTTAAATAAAACCTTATCCAAATTTAACCAAACTCAACTCAGACTTAATATATGATAAATCTAGTGAATATTAACTGGATTTAATTCAAATATAACATAAATTTCATTAAATCCTACCAAATCCAATTAGAATCTAATATAGACTTAGCAAAACTTAAATAAAACATTATCCAAATTTAACCAAACTCAACTCAGACCTAATATATCATAAATCTAGTCAGTATCAACTAGATTTAATTCAAATTTAACATAAATTTAATTAAATCCTACCAAATCCAATTAAAATCTAATGTAGACCTAGAAAAACTTAAATAAAACCTTATCCAAATTTAACCAAACTCAACTCAGATTTAATATATGATAAATATAATCAGTATCAACCAAATCCAATTCAAATTTAACATAAATTTAATTAAATCCTACCAAATCCAATTACAATCTAATGTAGACCTAGAAAAACTTAAATAAAACCTTATCCAAATTTAACCAAACTCAACTCAGACTTAATATATGATAAATCTAGTGAATATTAACTGGATTTAATTCAAATATAACATAAATTTCATTAAATCCTACCAAATCCAATTAGAATCTAATATAGACTTAGCAAAACTTAAATAAAACATTATCCAAATTTAACCAAACTCAACTCAGACCTAATATATCATAAATCTAGTCAGTATCAACTAGATTTAATTCAAATTTAACATAAATTTAATTAAATCCTACCAAATCCAATTAAAATCTAATGTAGACCTAGAAAAACTTAAATAAAACCTTATCCAAATTTAACCAAACTCAACTCAGACTTAATATATGATAAATCTAGTGAATATTAACTGGATTTAATTCAAATATAACATAAATTTCATTAAATCCTACCAAATCCAATTAGAATCTAATATAGACTTAGCAAAACTTAAATAAAACATTATCCAAATTTAACCAAACTCAACTCAGACCTAATATATCATAAATCTAGTCAGTATCAACTAGATTTAATTCAAATTTAACATAAATTTAATTAAATCCTACCAAATCCAATTAAAATCTAATGTAGACCTAGAAAAACTTAAATAAAACCTTATCCAAATTTAACCAAACTCAACTCAGACTTAATATATGATAAATCTAGTGAATATTAACTGGATTTAATTCAAATATAACATAAATTTCATTAAATCCTACCAAATCCAATTAGAATCTAATATAGACTTAGCAAAACTTAAATAAAACATTATCCAAATTTAACCAAACTCAACTCAGACCTAATATATCATAAATCTAGTCAGTATCAACTAGATTTAATTCAAATTTAACATAAATTTAATTAAATCCTACCAAATCCAATTAAAATCTAATGTAGACCTAGAAAAACTTAAATAAAACCTTATCCAAATTTAACCAAACTCAACTCAGATTTAATATATGATAAATATAATCAGTATCAACCAAATCCAATTCAAATTTAACATAAATTTAATTAAATCCTACCAAATCCAATTACAATCTAATGTAGACCTAGAAAAACTTAAATAAAACCTTATCCAAATTTAACCAAACTCAACTCAGACTTAATATATGATAAATCTAGTCAATATCAACTGGATTTAATTCAAATAAAACATATATTTCATTAAATCCTACCAAATCCAATTAGAATATAATATAGACTTAGCAAAACTTAAATAAAATCTTATCCAAATTTAACCAAACTCAACTCAGACTTAATATATGATAAATCTAGTCAATATTAACTGGATTTAATTCAAATATAACATAAATTTAATTAAATCCTAGCAAATCCAATTAGAATATAATATAGACTTAGCAAAACTTAAATAAAACCTTATCCAAATTTAACCAAACTCAACTCAGATTTAATATATGATAAATATAGTCAGTATCAACCAAATCCAATTGAAATTAGACAAAAATTTAATCAAACTCATCTAAATCCAATCACACTCTGATATAGACCTAGCAAAACTCAATTAGAACCTAATCCAAATTTAACCAAACTCAACTCAGACCTAATATATTATAAATCTAGTCAGCATCAACCAAATCCAATGAAAATTTAACACTTTAACAAGTTTAACACTCAAATTTAATCAAACTCAACCAAATCCAATCACAATCTAATATAGACCCAAAAAAATTAAATAGAACCTAATCCAAATTTAACCAAACTCAACTCAGACCTAATATATCATAAATCTAGTCAGTATCAACTAGATTCAATTCAAATTTGACATAAATTTAATTAAATCTTACCAAATCCAATTTCAATCTCATATAGACCTAGCAAAACTCAAGTAGAACCTAATCCAAATTTAACCAAACTCAACTCAGGCCTAATATACTATAAATCTAGTCATTATCAACCAGATCCGAGTCAAATTCATCCAAACTCAACTCAGGCTTAATATCTTATAAACCCAGTCAGTACTAACCAAACCCAATTCAAATTTAACACAAATTTACTCAAACCCAGGCACAATCTACCATAAGTACACATTTAAATTCAATCAATCCTGATCCAAACAATTTCAAATCAAACCTCCACCTAAATTCAACCCGACATCTTACCACAATCTTCCATTTCGACTCTGCAAATACAAAATACGTAGATCAGTAAAATAATCAGGTACACGAACAGCCCCCCTTCTCAAGATCTCTGATCAACCGAGATCTCGCTGAAACTCAACTCATTCTCACACGACTTCTCTTCGATTTAAAAAATCGCGAGGCATCTGGAGATCTGGTATGGACAATATCCTGTTCGACAAGAAAGTTAATGAAATCCAAATCATCGACCCACGCGAAGTAACTCGGCCTTTCTTGAGGGTCGATCGGTCTGCCGGTTCGATAGACTGACGCAGAAAATGCAAATGACGAGAGCCGTCGAGCGGAACAACAGTCACCCGATTCTCACAATTAACCGTTGCTCTGGTGTATACGATTTACGGCCAGGGAACGAGGAAACGCGGGAAAAACGGTGTTTTCCAGCGTGGGGAAATATCTCTGGCTGGAATCGATTAATTGCAATGACCTCGCGGACTTGTCGCTAGGCGCGCTGGTTTAACGTCAAGACCCTGTTTTCTGGGAACGTTGGTCTCACTCTGTCACCGGAAATTCGACGATTAGGCACTTTGGTGGAATTTTAGTACACAGTGATGGCTAACACTCTGATTTTCCGCGGAATTATCCGATTATTTTAACATTTGGGAAAGGACCGAGTAATTTACTCTGGAAATTTTTAATTATTGTAGTTGCTTCTTCTAGTGGATCATGATCCATCATACTTGGTGATGGATTACTCACCATTTCGAATTTTTCAAAATTTTAGTTTCAGGGTTGATGGTTGACAATTAATTTATTTTTATTATTTAAAATAAATTTCTAATTTTTTGGGGGCCAAGGAAGGAGTAATTTAATTTTGTTTCAGAAGCTATACTCGATGAATGATTTTCTCAGATAAATTATACGATTGGTTATTTGTTAAATTAATATTTAGAATCTTTGGTAGATATTGTTTTAGATATTTGTTGTGATAATTTGATAAATAATTATCTGTGACAGCGTACCTTTTCTCCGATCTGCACAGGTCGTGCGCTGAATGTGATGCCCCTGCAGAAGCTTTCGTATCTTCTGGCGATGGTCCCGCCATTGCAGAGTCTGACATTCTCACCATGAACCTGATGGAACGTCAGCGGCGGCAGATTATTAGTGCCTGCACTAGCTGATCTTGGTGCTGCAACAATAAAATATAGCGACGAGCGTTAATTTTATGTCTGAAGAATTTTATCGACACCGTAAGTATTAAATGTAACAAAAGTTTGTAATAAAAATAATAAAAAGACTTTTAAACATTAAGATATGGATATTTGAATTTTTTAAAACCCTCAATAACTATTAGGTATTATCCTTACTAGAGTATTCATAAAATTATTAATCCTTAAACGTTAAATCGATTAATTAAATAAATAAATAAATTAATATATCATTGTATGTCTTCTCTCGTTTTTCAGTAGAAAATTTACTAATTAATAATAAAAAATAAGATAGTGGAATTAATCAAATAAATATAAAAATAAAATAATTATTAGATATTATCTTTACTAGGATATTCATAAAATTATTAATTCTTACACGTTAAATCGATTAATAAAATAAATAAATATTAAAATAAATAAATAAATATATTATTGTATGTCTTCTCTGTTTTTTAGTAGAAAACAGTATCTCTAATTAATTAAAAATTCACTAATTAATAATAAAAAATAAGACAGTGGAATTAAGTAAATAAATATCAAAATAAAATACAATAATTGATGAAATAAATAAATAGAATTAAACAACTTCGATATCTCAGGATTGTACATCTTGCTACAGCTTACAAAAACAATAACAAAGATTCGAATCGAAATAAAATTCCATCCATTACTATCGAATCACTATTATCCCTATAATTGACCCTCAAACAGATCAGCTAAAACGAGAGGAGATCTTCTACCTAAGAAGACCCAAAAGCCCGACTCGGGTCCCCGAAATTGGGGCCTGACAAAGGTCCACGGGTCAATCAACGATCCACGAAACGGTATTTAATTCAAATTACAGGATTTCCCAACAAAATTCCCCCAAGATGATCCTCCTCCTGCCACCCGAAAAGCGGGTAATCATCGATCGAAACACGGACTTTCCTCCATTTCTATTCCATTTCACGAATCTCCACCGTGGTATTTCCACCATCGTGGACGAAATTTCGTAAAGGAAAATCGTTGTAACTGGGGAATTCCATGGGAGTAGTCGCTTTGCACGAAACAAAAGCGGCCAGGGAGACAGAGACAGCGTGCCATGGGAGCCAACATGGCGGACAGAGATCGAGGATGGATGGAATTCGATCGAGAAACTGAAATGCAAAACCACCTCCTCTCGTGGCAGCTCGAGCGTTTCCACTTCGGTATTTCATAACTCCGACTCGACGATCCGGAATGCGGGAGTTCTGCCAGGATATTCCCAGGCTATGTCCAGGGCATTCCCAGCTGGTGACCGGAAACGCCGCCATTCCCGATGGCCCGGGCGAGATCCAATATCGATCCGTTCTCCCCAGATTTGCAGATTTTGGACGATTTTCGTGGACAATTTTTAGTTATTAAAGTACTCTCGTCGAATTTTTTAATATAAATATTCCTAATATCTATATCTATATGGGTAGAAGAAAACTTTGAGGTTAGGTTCTGATTCCAATCTTACGATTTTTGCGAGAGTAATTGTGATATTGTCCTTGATGAGATTTTTGCTAAATTTGAAAATTAATTTAACATATTAACAACGTTATGCAATAATTATTTACGTATAACTCGCTAACGTGAGTTCTGCAGGTATAATATAAATTATTAATATTTTATATTTTGAAAATTGTGCGATTTTAAATTTATTCGAAATATAATAGAATATTGGATATTAAACGATCAAAAATTATTTATATCGTTATATTATTACAGTATAAATAGTTGAGAGAATTGAAGCTTGGTGTAGATTATTTTTCTGTATGGCAATAGTACTCCATTTATGGTAATGCTGTATAGAGGGACGATTAGTATGGTTAAATGACGCCGATTATGCGAAACACAATTAATCGTGTTCTTTGACTTTTTCGACTCCAATTAGACCGATTTGACAAGACAGTTGCTAAGCAGTGGAAGTCCGAAGGAAGTCGATAAGGCTCGATTAGTGTAGTTACGTTCTGTGTGCAACATGCAAGATAGTGATTTATCTATTTCGTCCATGGTACAACTATCGGTTAATAATTATAGCAGAGCGACTTAATTAAAAGATAACGCGATTGAAGTTCGTTTAACGTTATTCGAGCCTAAAGGAACTCGACACGGTTGCTTCTCAACAACTCCGATCACCAATGGTACCATATTACCATACAATATGCTTCCAATACGTACAACGCAAGAATATTAATCTACAATCCGGTTAAAAATTTCTTAACATTAAACAATTACTTTTCACTCACTCGATTCTCGTTATAAAACATACTTAAATAAAAATAACTAAAAACCTAACAATTTTACTTAGCTATTACGATTCCAAAAAATGAAATAAAATAAATCATTCAAAAAATATATTAATTAGAATAATACAAATAATATAAAACTAATTTTATAAGATGACAAGTAATATATCAAAAATTATTTGCTAATCCAAAATAAAAAAATCGTTTGATCGTTATCGTACAAAATTCTTCGATAAAAATCACCAGACACCCGAGCAATTTAAAAATACCCAAAACACGAGTATATCAATTTATAATTCGATTTAACAATCTCCAATGTATCCACAATTATTCTCCAATTTCGAAAAACAAGGAAAAATAAATCACTCTACTCTTATCACCAAAACCACAAGATCCTCTTCACGAGAAGCTAGTATTCTCCACAATGAAAACCACAATGAAATCAAATCACACAGTGCCAAAAACAAACACGACTGTAAAGTAAATTAGTCGGTGTAGTATTTCGCAGGAAAAAAGAGAAGAAAATGGAAAAAATCGCGGGACCAGCGTGAACCATAACCGTCACGAGCGACAGCCCAGTTCCAACTGACTATCGATCTACGCGCGGAGGCGGTGTGTATCGCAGTCGGCATCGTACGTGCGCCACGCACCGGAAACTGCACGCCACCCGAGCGGAAGCGGCCGCGGGCGCAAGGAGCATCGGCCGATACGCTTTCTCCTGGAGCGGATGCGCGCCGAAAAGCGCCGTTAACAATGGCCGGCAACAGGAAGAGTGAACCACTCCTCGACTTTTGCGGGCTTCCGCCGTTTCCTATGTCCCACTATTGGCAGCACTGATCGCGCGCCGATTTTCTCACACGCCGGATAACCGGGTTCCACAGTCGTCATTTCTACGGATTAGGCGAGGTCTTAGATAACCGTGAAAGGGAAATGGATTTCCTTGAACTACTTGCAACGACATTTCCGTCTAGGCCTGTTGCGAGCTATGAACAATTTTTGAGACCGGAAGATTGGATGCCTGTGGTTTATTTCGTCGAGAAATTGCTATTTTGGAAAATTTATATATGAAATAATTGGTTACAGAGGTTTGATTAGAGATTTATTACGTGTGATTAATATTTCCTTTTTTAAGGATTATTTCATTCCTTTGGAGATTTGAAATTAATAACTGTAGATAATATATGATTTTTGAAATTATCAAATATATGTAGTTTTGATAAAATTGAAATTTATCTTTGATCATGATTTAACTAGATATTAATTAGATATAAACTAAATTGTAGATAGTACTATTGTCAAAAAAGTTTAACATAATAATTAATCCTCCAGTTTAAGATTTAAACTAAATTTAAACTAACAGAATTATTATGTTTAATATAATATTTTGGATTATTATACTTGAAATTGTTTTGTTTTCTCTCTTTGTGAACTTGTTATATAAATATATTATTATACATCTTTTGAAGTAAATTTTCACAAAATTGTTTATAAAACTATTACACTTTTCAAAAGTCATCATTTATATTTCCAAAAATTATTTATTAAATTCGAGCTATTTAAACTTCTGATCTCCTGCCCCTGAAAATTCCCTACCAATTCCCCTAGAACATCAATCTTCTAGAACCACTCTTCCTAACCTCCAAAAAACTTCCCTATCTCATCCTTAAAATTATTTCATACTCGCATAACTGAAATATACTACACAACCGGTCGCTGGAGTCTAGGGAAAAATAACTAGTCGGCGAGAAGTTACGTCAGAATTAATTCGCGCCGTGATTAACCCGCTAACGAACCGAAACCGCGACTCGCGTTTCTCGATCGGTCACGATCCATGGATCACCTGCAAAAATAACACGCGGAACACGCCGGTTTCTCACGGTCCTGCTATGGCGCGAATTATGAACAGGTCGACCGCTGTAATTTCTAATTCGTTCGTCATCCTGGCGCGAACCATTTCTTTCCTCCATTTTTATTTCCTCTCTTCCTTCCTTCTTTCCCTTCTTCCGCCCTTCTCGCGATACCGTTACTCGTTTCCTCGATCCAAAGAGGACATAATCGTCCCGGATCGAGATCAGAGATCGCGTGCAACCCTTTCAACGATCGTTCAGCTTTTTCTCCGGCTTTTCAATACACAGTTCAAGAAGTTCGCGTTTTCGAGCAGTCGAGGATGAAAAAATTTTGGTGAGAAACTGTGAGAAAGATTCTTATTGAGTTGGTTTTGTCGGTTTGTTTCTCCTTCTTCTTTCTTTCTCTTTTATTTTCTGTTTGTTTCATTATTGTTGGTTTTTGCGAGAGCGATATCTGTGTTGGTTCGTTGCGATGTCTCATCAAAGTTTCGAGAGTGAGACCAAGGGTAGATTGAAGACTGCTGGTAATTGAGAGTTTCGATGCCTGAGGATACAGTTTTCCAACGTAACTGCTTGTAATTTCGAGACTTCAAGCTTTGATCTCGCGTTAAAGAGTCGTTGAGAGTGTACTTTGGTGGAAATTAGGGTTTAGGGGATTCTAGGGAACTCTGGGTAATTATAGAGAATTCTAGGGAACTCTGGGGGATTCTAGAGAGTTCTAGGGAATTCTAGGGAACTCTAGGGCGATTGACAAGTTTTTTCTAACTAGTTAGATCCAAATATGGTGTTATGATGATTGTATCGTATTATATACTTAAAGACATCTAACTTATTTTTGCAAATATTATTTTTGAAATCTGACTGCAAAGAGTGAATAAAAATGGAAATTTTTTGGCACAATATGGTATTGGAAATGAGAATTGTCAAATTCGAGAACAGAATGTCGATAATTCCGTGAATTTGGATTTTTTTTTAAAGATGAGACTTTATATTCTATGCTGAACCTGTTCATGAGCACAGGACGTATTAGCGTTTGCGTAAAAAAAGGAACTAGGTAATTTGTTTCCGGTTAATTAGGAGCCCATTGTTTCATTCATTCGCGGAATCTCACGATTCCTTAATTTCACAGATCTCTATCGATTTATGAGTTACATAAACAATGGAATACCGTTAAAATCAAGGATGCACATGTCGTCAATAACCATAAGACGAATATTTTTTCCAAAATATTATATCTGCACGTATTACCGAACACTGATCAAAATTTTGAACCAAGCTTTCTAACCAATTTTATTTTTGAATTATTAATTATTTCGAATTAACCATGTCCAGGGTTTTCACACTTTTCTGGGTGAATGGATGCTTACTATAGCGCAAACGTGTCTCGTTTCACACATCTTTTACCACTGTTCAAGATTATAAAACGGAATTCTCCATAAGCAAAAACCCATTAAAATCCCAATATCAATCAACCAATAAAAAGAAATCGAATAAAACGAACCTAAGCTTCGAAAATCTACCCTCATTTTACCCAATCTTCAACATTCTACAACCAACAAAGACTCCATGCAACAAAGCAGACCCGAACCTAACCTAATACTCCGCAACAAATGCAATTAACCCCTTACCTTACTATATAACTTCTAGATGGCGCGTGCCAGGGCCAACAGCAATGTCGAACACGTTGAGACACGCCGAGGCACGTCGAGCCACTACGTCCGAACACGGCGAAGAATAACACGAGACTGAGGCAGGAAAACATGGCCGAAAATTAACCTCGAGCCTCGTGATGTTTACTCTACTACGACTCTATCTACGACTCGTGGCTCTCGACCGTGATACTCGTGTTTGGGTCGATCTCGTTACAAAGAGCCTCGCATGATATTGTAGACAAAGATCGTTGACCTCGTACCATCGACCATTTGAAATTAACAATAGATCTAAACCTATATCTAAACGTAGGTATAAATTTCAACCTAAACTTAAATGTAGGGATAAACCTACAATTAAAACGTAGGCATAAACCTAAACCTAAATGTAGGCATAAACCTAAACCTAAACGTAGGCCTAAACCTAAACCTAAAAGTAGGCATAAACCTAAACCGAAATATCGGCATAAACCTAAACCGAAATATAGGCATAAACCTAAACCTAGGTATAAACCTAAACCTAAACCTAAATATAGGCATAAACCTAAACCTAAATATAGGCATAAACCTAAACCTAAATATAGGCATAAACCTAAACCTAAATGTAGGCATAAACCTAAACCTAAACC